ATCATTGGCTTGTTCCAAGTCCACCTTCATAATACTACGAACTAAACCTTTGGATTCTTCAAGTACCTATATAAAATTTAAAAAAAAAGACAGGAATGGTATTATTTAATACTCAAGACACGTTTTAATCATAAATAGTGGTCAGAGAGAAAGCACGTGAATGCAGACTGTTGTGGTAAATGCACTGCATTACTATGGATGTCTGGGAACTGAGAATCACAGCTGGGACACAGTTCTTCTTTCTCTTTTAAAAATTAAGCCATTCACCTTTCCCGACTCAATGCCAGCCACTTCTCTAGAAGAAGGTATATAAAGAGAAGGCATTTCACACATGAATGAAAAATCAGTATATTTCTATTTTGCCACAGTTATAGCTACTCTATCCTAACTCCATCAATGCTTGCTTTAAAAGGTCACAAAATATATTTTAAAAAAATTCAAAACATTTATTTTAGTACCATAAATGTCTAAGCGTATTTTTTTTAAATTAAAGAATGGATTTCTAAAGTTCTTTTGCCTTCAGCATTACATTTTACACTTCCTGTTTCTGCTGATCTAGGAACTGAATTGCAAATTCGGAGAACTACCAAATTAAAAAAAATGAACAGTATATTCCAATCAATCATTCAATCTGGGAAAAGACTCAAGCAAATAATTGAATCATAGATCTGAAGACTGGAATACTTCCCACATCTAAATACGTGTACATTTGAAATATATCAAGACCTATTTAGAGTAGAATTTTAAAAAAAACTATCACAAGTGATATATTCAGTTTGGAATTGACTTTTTCTTGGTGGGGGAGTGCACTTTGATGCAGTGTTGAATTCTGGCAACTTGGCAAATTTTGGAAGCGGTTTGCCATTGCCTCTTTCCTAGATCTGAGAAAAAGTATGCGGCACAAGTTATCCAGCTGGCTTCTTGCTTAAGGTGGGAGCCGAAGTCAGAGTCTCCCAGTTTTTAAGCTAGTCTCTAAATTAAACTGGCTCCCTCTGCAATTAATTATCATTACAATGTTCCTTTCAAAATTATTTTCCATTCCTGAGACAAGAATTTTGTTTACTAAATTAATACTGCATTTCTTTCATTTTTGCCTTTTATGATATACATTATCTTATTTGTATCATCTACAAAACTGATTACCATTCCCTTAATTTCTTTATCCATGTTATTAATAAAAATAATTGAATGACATGCATATAGACAAGGATGAATTCTGGTGACCACAACGGTAGGGCTAGGAAAGGACATCCTCTTTTTCTATTTGTGGTCCAGATTAGAGAATGAAGTCCTCTACATTCACCTTTCTGGAAAATCAGGGAAAGGCCAACAAATACTCTTTCGGAAAACGTTTTGATAAACAGAGAACACTTTTAAAAATAAAGGCTGCCTGAACAGCCAAGAAAGGAAAAACAGACACACACCCCAAAAAGGGGGAGGGGGGCAAACCAGGGAACATCAACTTTTAAGAAAATTTCGCCTTCCCTTCAGCAATCGTTTATGTTTTCATGCTACACTTTTGAAATGGATTATGTACAAAAGAGGATGTAAAAGGAAAAAACCTGGACAACATTTTATTCATAAATATGTTATTTGTATTAAAAAAATAATAAAAAACTTCATTTAAAAAAAGGAAAAGAAAGCCCACAGCCTCCCTGGGATTACGCAAAGCATAGATGACCCTGTGGAATTTTCTGTCATCAGATGTGATGATGGCTACCAATTAGGAAAGTTTTAAAAAGGAACTGGACAACTGCTAAGGAAGTATTGATGTCTGTTTTCTAGCCCTTGGATTCACAGCCAGACAACCTTGAACACCAGTTGCTAAGGAGCAAAAGTGGAGGAGAAATATCACTCCCCCCCCCCCACAAGTCGGTGTGTTTCCTTAATGCATTTTGTTTAAAACAGTGAGTCATAAAATGTTGGCTAGATTACCAATTTGCTTTTTATGTTTTTAAATAGATTGTGATTAAACAGATTGTAATAGCTATGTTCTTCTGTGTCTTATATAGTTGTTAAAGCATATGAAATGAGACAGAACCATATGATACCTCAAAAGAGAGTTCCCAAACCCTACTGATTCCATTTTCCCTGAAAAGGACTGGAATTACCATAACATTATATCCTCCAGGCCATTAGAGTAAAGTCATCTATCAAAATTTGTAAGACTGTCCCTATCCTTTATCTGAGTTTAGCTGACTGAAACGTCTCTATTTATAACAGTTTGGATTTCAGATAGTAGTACCAGCTCCACAACCTTCCATCCTTGACTTCAGATTTATGTTGAATTCCTTACCTTTTCCATCATGTTAAATTATATGCAATAAGAACATATTTATATGCTACTTGTTGAAATAATTAAAAATATATTGTTATACCTCTTTGAAAAAATAAATAAAATTACGATGTTAACTATTTTCAGGGACTTTTACTGGCAATTTCACAAGTGAAACTTTTAAATAATTAAATGTTAAGCCAATCCAATAATCTCCGAGGCCATGTTTTCTCTACTCTGCCCTTTCAAATAAAAAAGNCAAGAAAACAAGAGATTTAAAGTATGCCTCATGGTTCCACTGTGATTCAGGCTTCTGAGGAAAGATGGCCAATTGAAGACAGCTCCACAGACAAATGGAACTGATGATTCGCAGCTTTGCACAAAGGAGATCAGCTCCCTCCCTTTGATCTTTTATGGATTGAACAGAATGACATGAGATTTCCTAATCTATTTTTCCTTATGGGTGTTTCTTTTCCTCGCAAAAAGGCCACAGGACAGTAATCTTGAGGTGGGGGTGGGGAATTAGGAGATGGAGGAATTCACTATTTTTCTCCAGCCGCAAAGTGGAGACTTTCCAGGACACTACACTTCCTTTGCTAACTATTTTTGAAAACTAACAATGGACTTAAGGAAGTTAAGCCACCTTTGGAATGACAAGATTGGAAACACTGGGCGAGTATGTTTTTAATCCTTAATATTAGAATATGACGATTTACTTTAAAAGTTTTATAACTTTTAAGAATTTAAATAGGAAAAGTAAGATAGGGTTTTGGGTACAGAAAATTCTAAGGTTCCAAAAAATTAAGATTTGGACTTCGAATATAAATATTTTGAAACTGTTTTTCCCCAAAAATAAATCCATGCCTATGGAAAAAAATTGCTTATCAGTTTGGAGTCAAAAAAGAAATTTGTAATAAGGATTAACAACCATCCAAATGGATTGCAGAAAAAGACAATCCTGTATAAATAAAAAGGAAAAACAAAGATTGTAAAATTGTCTTATTCAATCAGGGATAAAATTGGATGAGTATTTATTCTGTATGATTCTGTTTTTCTTTAGTTAAATAGTAAGGAAGTTTGGAAAGATTCTTTTATGAAAAAAACACAGGTCTTGTTATAATTTAGTTTTAAATTTTAGTTTTTTGTTTGTATTAGGATAATGGGATTATTTTATACATGTGAAATGTCAATGTCCTTACAGGGTGGAGATATAGAATATGCATTTGAAGATTTGTTATTTGGAATATCCTGCATTGTATTTTGTCTTTTATAAAGCGGAAATTGTCTTTTTTTGTCATATGACACTTTTAGGGAATTGTTTATACCTGTCACAAAGTGGGTGGAGACTTGTTTTCTGGGTACAGTTGTCTTTATACATTTATTTTTTCTTNAATTTATGACCTGCAGTGGTGAAATGAATTGACAGTGACCTATGAAGTTTTAGGGAGACAGGTTTCTTGAGGGGTGACGCAGTGGCTCAGCGGTTAAGATGCTGGGCTTGTCAATCCATTTCACTGCAGGTCATTTCAGTATTTTTATGGAAAGCTGGCAGCCGTGTTTTGAGATTCGAGCACCAAGTGATGGGGTGAGCTCCCATCCTTGCCTCCAGCTCCTGCCAAGCTAGCAGTTCAAAAGCATCCAAATATGAGTAGATTCATATTTATTCTCTCCAAGTACCACTATGGTGGGAAGGTAACATGGCTCTATGATGTCATGCTGTCCACATGATGGTGGAAATGTCTTCAGACAGCACTAGCTCAATGGCCTTAAAAAAGAGATCAGCACTGCCCCCTATAGTTGGCAATGATTAGTGGAGGAAAATTCTCCTCTACCTTTTGTTTCTTAAGAGCCCTCTGAAAATTCAAAAAAACCCAAAGCCTGGACTTCCTTGTAAGATACATGTTCTACCAATGAGCTCTCGCTATCATCATTCTAATCCTCCTGAAAAGGCTTCTGCCTCCTTATCTCCAGCATCCAACTCCACACTTGCATTTACTAATTTACTAATGTTTTGCCATTGATGTACTGCTTAACTTTTAATTTCTACACTATTTATTTATCAATATATGGCCACCCAGCTGACAAGAAGTGACTCTAGGGGCATAGAGCAACCAAGTAAAACAATAAATATATAAAAACAATGATTAAAATATGCAAAACCAGCAAACCTAGGAGAGAATAAATATGAATCCCAATAACAGAGCCATTTTAGAATATCCCTGATCTTCCAGAACCCCAGGCCTGAAAACATCACTAGATGTTGAAGGGCTATTAACAGGAGGTAGATGCTACAGGAGAGGAGGCCCTCCTTCTGGGAGCCACCTCTAGCAGATGGGGCCCAAAGCCTCTTGCAGATGGGATCTGAAGTTTCTAGCAGATGGGACTTGAAGCATACCTCTTCTGGGAGAATTAATGGGTTGGGCAGATGTAATTAAGGAGAGGTGATCCCTCAGATAACCCGTCCCATGCCATGAAGGATTTTAAAGATTGAAACCAGCACCTCGTCTTGACCTGGAAGCAAACTGGCAAATCAGCGCAACCCACAGAGCAGAGGTGTAACATGCTGTCCTAGTTGAAGCTTCCAAATACTCTTCAAGGACAGCCCTATGCATAGCACATGAAAGTAATCCAATCTGGAGTGACTAGGGCATGGGTGAGTTTTTGGGAGAGCAGGAATCCCACCCTCCCAGTTTAAAAACACCGGAAGTAATGAAACAACTCTAACCTCTGGATTTAATGAATTGTTCTCTGATGACTTGGTGGATAATAAAATATGCGTGAATCCATCTTGCTTCCGGACAACAATGTCTCTGTAGCGGTAAGCACTTTCAGTTTGCCGCACACTGAATCGTAGCCTTTTATCAAAAGGCTGATCTCTCCTTTCATCAATAAATCTTCGTTTGTTGGCTGCTACTCCTGTTACTGATGTCTGAATGTTGGTACCATTGGTTGCCAAGGCTTCTATAAAGGTAGACGTTCCTGTGAAAAGGGTTACAGTATTTTTAGACCTCAGCTTTATTCATGAAACACATCAAATTCTTATTATCATGCAAAGCATGGTAATACCTAAATACTATAGCAAAGAATAGCAGAAGAAAACACTAAATGTTTTAATGAAAGCTTATAAAAAATCATTTCTGAAATGCAACTGCTTAAGGTTCTACAGAATACGTATGAGAGAAGGTGGAAATTATACTTATATGGATAATAGGGGGAATATTAAAAGTCAGATAACCAACACTGAATTCTTAGAAGAATCATTTTATTGCTGATACAACAAAATGTTAAAAAGTACAGACAAATACACAGAGAAAATATTAAAAAGTACACAAGCACAAACATGTGTTGACTCAGTGTACTTTTCAGTGTTGACTTTTAGTGATCACGTAAATCTTCTCCAGGTTGATCTGTCCCCAATGTGGCCCTTCAGATCTCCCAACAGTGCACCCATCTCCATTGTAATCAAGTCCATATACCTTACTACCAGTTGCCCTCTTCTTTTTCTTTCNTTTTTGTTTTAGATATTAAGATTTGGTTTTGATAGAGTCATTTCTTAACCAAGTTTTTCACATTTGGTATTAATAATAAATAGTGGCTTATTACAAACCATCCATCCAAATTTCCTTTTCAGTGAAAGAGGGAAGTTGGAAAAGCGGAACATTAGATTCTCATTCTGTGAGTCCATACACACAAACACTCTCAACATATACGTAAGTTCCAAACATCCAAGCTGAATAATCTTTCTGGATAATCTGGTTTCCTATATTATGAGACTTTTATGAAAGGTAAAAATTGTATCTATTCAGTAAGATTCTTCCGAATATAAAAATTCTTGCAAACATGCTTAACCTAATGGATGTGCAACTCTTCCTAGTTTTAAAGAAGACACCTTTACAATATCTCCCAAATAATAAATATTCTGATTTAAATTCATTTACTGAGGGGGAAAACACCCAAGTATAATTGGAATAGCAGTTTTGGTTTCACAAATAGCTGTTTTAGGTCATGATCTATTAAAGCACAATTTGAATAATTTTACAAACCTAATTGCATCTGCCATCTTAGTACTTTCTCTTTTTCTATCGTCTGTCAAACGTCGAATAAAATAAATGAAATCAAGGCCACAACAGAAAACACTGCCAACTGCACTAAGAAGTACAAGTTTACTGTCATCAACAGCTGCTGTGTTCAGTGCACTCTGGACTTCTTTCATCACCTGGAATGAGATGCATGAAACACATAAAAAAGGGATATATAATATTTGCTTCTCAAAAGCTTTTCATTTACCACGCATTTCTGTAATGTGAACAGCAGGTGGCATATGTAACCAATTCAGAGACATCTAAATTTAGGATAAAAGTCTAAAACTTTTTTTTTGCCAAAAGAGAAAGACAGACAACAATGGACAAATGTTTTTTTTTTAATGTAAGCATTACCAATATGAACTTGGGTTGTGTTCAATTTTACTGAGCTCAGCAGAATTTATTCTCAAACAATAAGGCTGAAGTAAATATATCTAATTTCTAAATTCACTATAAAATTAGTCAGAAAACTTTAATTCTTAATAATNATGTAGGAGGTCAGAAATCCAATGGCTCCTCTGGCTCAACTGCCTTTCTGATCCCCCCAAAGTCACCAAACTGGCAGTAGACTTGGAATTTGCACAAATCAAATCATTTTATTTGGTTTCAAGGGAAGAGAATATAAATCCAAGGATTTTTTAAAAAAAAACAAAGACAAATGAAAAAGTCTGTTTCTTCTCTTCCACTTGTACAGGCAGATTTTTGGATGTATTGCAAGCTGTGACTTGCTGCATGAAATAGGATTTTCTATTAGTACCCTTTACTCAATTTTTCTTCCCTTATCAAGTGTTTCATTACAGCTGATTTGGGCTAATGAAAAAGCAAAACAACTAGAAATGTATGTAATACACATCAAGATAATGTGGAATAAATTTATTTTAGCTTTGTTTTACTAAATGTGAAAGAAATGTCAACAGATCTTCTCTGATTTAGGGCAGCACAAAGTGTTCCAGAACATTATCTTATTCAACAATTTTCCGAAACAGCCACGTGTCTGCAAAAGGAATTCTGTTGACACTTGAATGGATCCTGGATGAATCCTGTTATCTGAATTCTGATGCACAGTTGCACATCTGAAGTGCTATTTCAACATGTTGCTCTCCCTTGTGGTTTGACTGCATGTTCGTTCCCCCATATCAGTGCTCTATTGCACAACTCCTTTGATTACAGATAAGATGTGGAAAGGATTCTTAAGGATAAAAATGAACAGGCATTTAATGTATAAGTAGTATATATTCAATTTAGAATACAATCAACTTTTATATTTTCCTAAAATTAGCATTTTAAAAACACAAAGCACAGACAGTAAAGTGCAAATATTATCTCAGAAAGATAAACTGCCTCAATCCCTCTAGCAGGCTGTGGTGGGACTGCAATTAACATAGATGCTGTGCTAAAAATGGGTATGTACATGCAGAGAAAACAAGCAAATGAGTTTTAATTGCTGCAAGAAATCTTAGTCGAGAAACATTAACATTCCCAACTGTAATTAAGGCTGGGGTCTACAAGACAGTTGCAATGTGGAAGCTAGTATCTTTCATCCTTCATTGAAGCTACCCAGATGTCTCTGGTTTGGTTATATAAGGATCTTTTGCTAATAATAATAGGTACTAAATCAAGGCTTATAAATTAAACAGGTTGAAGTAGCAATCCACACTCCATTGCAAATCTCACCATACACTGTGGAACTACAGAAAGGCCAACCAAATAGATTAGTAGATGACAGTTAAAGACACAGTTAAAGTACTTTTAATGGATTGCAAAATGTACACTGGTCTCACTCAGGACCACTACTAGAATGCAGATGTTATGAGCATAACTTATCTAATGCAGCAGCAACAAATTATTTTGTAATAGTGGTTGGGGGTTCAGCATATTATAAACCTTACGTTCTGCAGTAGCAGATAATTACATGCAAACATGTCTTTATTTGGTAAGTAAGTATTATACAGTAAGAAATTCTAAATTAAACAGAGCAATGTGATGAAACTAAGCTGTTCAGGTAAAAAGTCCAGAGTGAGTTTTCATGCCTTTTCTCTTCTGTAGTTTTGGACCAGATATAGTCAAAACAAGAGAGGTTTTTTTGGAGTGCATTCTTACCATAAACACTTACAATTTGTTTTCTAGATTTGTGCATTACACAATAGCTGCATTACAGCTACTGATGATGTGCTGTTGGATTTTGGGAACCTACAATTTGTTTCCTAGATTTGTGCGTTACACAACAGCTACTGATGATGTGATGTCGGAAATTGGGAACCTATTTGCAGAATTCATCCACAAGTCATTTCCTTCTCTGTGAAATATTACAATCTGCAGTTGAGTGCCTTTTTAAGAGAAGAGACAATAAAGAGTCAGCTTTTGGGTTCAAAGTTAATTGGGATGATTGGTAGAAACCCTACCTGTCCATTGTATGTTTTGAATAGTGAAAATCCTTCCCAGAATATTGCAGGGCCAGGTCAAAATGGTTTTAAACTAAATTTACTGTGTGAACTGACACTTAATCATTATAACACTCTTGAGTATTAAACTTCCATTGAAAGAAGCAAGCAACTTACAACTGAATTACACGTGACAAGTTCCTTAATTCGGACCATAACCTCCTGTATGAATGTTCCTGGCCAAAATACTTGAGACACCAGTCCTTTCGAACAAGCTTCTTGTGCTGTTAGCTTCCTTCCACTAAATAACATTTCATTTGCCTGAGAAAGACAGAAATTATTTGTCAGTTATAATAAAGCATAATATTTTTTCTAAATATAAAACATTGTGGCTTAAAAAAATGCTCCTACTTGGAATAATTAACTAGAATACGTTACTTTTTGTTTGTACAGTGAATTGAAATAAAGCAAATATTGAAAGCAGCACAATAATTCAATGTCAACTTTTAGCCCTACATAAAATTACGATATTTGAGTTTCAGAGTGTTTATGATGCAAGATTTTTTTNCAACCTGCAGTGCAATGTCTAAAATGAAAACAGAACAATCTGTTCCATCTCAAGACTACACCGTGATGGGGAATCTGGTTAACAGCTCAAGAAAAAAGCAAATCAAACAACCAGAAGAAGAGACATTCCGGCTGGCAAGTTTAAACCAGCATTTGATTTCCTCACAATCTAGTTGCCACATATTTTGCAATTTAGTCCTAGAAGAAATTGTCAAAACAGCCAAAGGACAGCAATTTTAGATCCAAATTATTCTATCAAATATTGAAAAATGTATTGAAAAGTAGCTAGTTTCTAGAGACTTGGCTTAAATTTAGGCAAAAGATCCACATGGTGATTAGTGGAATCATGAGTTAGGCTTTGAGGTAGGTCAGGTCAGGAATTGGGTCCAACAAGTACTATGGGAACTCCCTTCTGATAAGGTTTGATAATAGCATTTTGAAAGGCTGAAAGAATTTCTCACCCACTTCCCCTTAAATGAAAGAGATTTGGGGTGAGATTATCCTTAGTTTCTTCCTTAGCCCTTTTTATTTTTCTAGACTAAGCTAATGTTTTCATAATGGTTGTTACACAACTTTGTAAAGCTAAGTCTTTCCTTTTCTTGCAACAAAATTCTACTCTGCCTACTCTAAGCATTTTATTATTTGATTTCTTTCCCCTTAAAATGGTGGAGGACTAAGTATAAATTTGTTTTTGTTGCCCTGAAATGAGGGGAACGTACCATGTTTATTTATTTTTTAAGTGAAGCTGGGGAGGCATTAAGGGCTTCAAAAGAACTTTGGGGCAGTAAATTCACTATCCCCGCTTTAGGATATGGTTTACGATAACTTGATTCAGAATAATAAAAATGAATCCCAAAAACTCTAAGCAGGAATTAATACAATTTATACTTTCCACATATAGAGAAGGCAGAGAACCAACTGAGTATCAATGACTGGAAATTTATCTGTA